ATATGCGCAGCAGCAAGAAGGTTTCGGTCATCCCTTGAGGGTGAGTCTAGCCCTGCTCGCCAGAAAGACCCCCCCCTTCACTACAACCCATGTCTAAGCAAAAGCTTGTCGAGGAGCGAGGGGAAGAAGGGAGGGTGGGCTAGTGTTTTAGGATTCAGATGTGTAGACGGAACATAGAAGAGAATGGTTCCTTCTAGAAGGCGCGGAGAGATGTAACTCCCCGCTGAAGGATAAAACAGGGGGCAGGATCTAGTAGCCCCTGCTTGTACTGAGGAACCTGCGCCCCTTGGTGTCATTCCTACCGATACCCAAGGCAACAGCTACTGCTGCTGCTGCTGTTCTGCAAGAGTAATAACAAGTGAGTTCTTCTTCACAGGTCAACCAGACTTCATCACGCTTGCATACCACTACATAACGTCATAATAATCGATGAACCCTAGCCAGTGGCTGCTACGCTAAAAGCATGAGTGAACCAACTATAACCAACCGCTGTGACAGTATGCATAGATAGGTCAGGTGTGGTTGTAATTATAATTATTTTTTCGGCACGGCTATTTGGGACAACGTTGCCCCAAATTTTTATTTGGGACAACACGTCTAACTCGGCGTAGAAAGCTCGGATCGACCTCAAACCAAGTTTGTTGTAATCCTACTGGACACAGCTTTCACGGAATGTATTTTGAGTCCACAACGGAGCCGGGGTCGAGGAGATAGAGCCTAAAAAAGGCGCTCCTTGTTATGGAGGAAAACGTAGATTTACCGAAGCCACGGAGCCCCTTTTTTAGGCTCTATCTCCTCGGCCCCGGCTCCGTTGTGGACTCAAAATACATTCCGTGAAAGCTGTGTCCAGTAGGATTCCAACAAACTTGGTTTGAGGTCGATCCGAGATTTCTACGCCGAGTTAGACGTGTTGTCCCAAATAAAAAATTTGGGACAACGTTGTCCCAAATAGCCGTGATATTATTTTTTTTTGGGGGGGGGTTGGAGGACAAGTTGCACAATAATTCTCACCAACGCCATTTCCGTCGACGACGAGGCCCACCCTACTTGCGGCGATGGAATAGCCCCCCCGCGCGTTGTATGCGCGCGGAAGCCGTTTCTTATTTCCTGCAGCCAACCTTGAATCGTCGTTTCCTTGTGTCTGTGGAGTCGAATTTATTCCCTATTTCTTCTTATTATTATTCCATTTCTCATCACTCCGTCAAATGAGCTCAATTTCTTAGGCGCTTTTCATCAATTTTTCAAAATTCTGAGCCTCGATTTCGTACGGACGTCTTTCTTACGAGTGGGCCGGCACTGTACTGCTTCTGCTGGTAGCTTTACTCGTTGATCGCTGGAATAGTGACAGAGAGGGGGGGGTCACGCTGCCCTCTCCTGATCTCTTCCTTTCTATATCAGCTGACAAGATACAATCTACGTCACAATAAAAGGTGGCGCAACACAGCCGATACCATCCTGTTGACGCAATACGATCGATCCTTGGGGGCTCTTGCCCGAGTTCGCTCCATCTAGACTACAGCACAATGTTGTCTACCTCACCATCCTGTTGACGCAATACGATCGATCCTTGGGGGCTCTTGCCCGACTTCGCTCCATCTAGACTACAGCACAATGTTGTCTACCTCACAGCAGCAATATACCGTTTCACATGGGACTTTGATAACGCCGATCGATCGATGTCCACAGCCAATATACCATCACAACACTGTAGCCGACCATGAGCAGACGTAGATGATGCAGATATGCATACCAGACGGGAAAGTCACGAAGACGGACAAGCCATAATATTCATCCGATATGAGATGTACCGCACGGAGATCAAACGAAGATGCGGCTCCTCATACGACCCACTCATGATCGATCGTCTCTTACATGTTTATTCCTCGCCAACTTCCTCTGTCTCTCCGTTGGCACAGACTGCGCAGGCTCGTGTTGTCCTCGCGTTTTTTTATTTGCGAGCCCCGCTGCGATCTCTCCGACCCCTTTGCGGATCTGCTATAAAATTTCGGTTAGCTTTTTCAAGGCACCCCGGTGCGATCTCTCCGACCGGTGCGATGCGCAATGAAATACCACACACAACGGGCCTACTGGTGCTAAGCAATGTAGTTGCTGTGCGCACGCACTCCGGTACCATATCCCAGATCGGTGTCATTTCTCCGCCATCGTTGTTGACCGGGAGCAAGCGGAAACAAACGGCAACGCCGGCTGGTATCTGGCACGTTTCCATGCATCGAGTGGTCATAAGGGGTTTGAATGCGAACTTGGCTATGACACAAATGGCATGACAAGGACAAGAAACGATGTTGTTTCGATCTTGGTACCGGTACATTCAGGAAGGTATCAGTCGTAGGTGGCAGTACACTAGAAGTCGTCGTGTAAGGTGGGATTCGGATTGAGTGTATGTTGAGTGCTTGGTTGGGTGCACGGTTTACAACTTTCATACAACGCAAACGAAAACAGCTGACATCCCGCGTGAACCGCGACCGTACATATGGATAAAAATATCTCAGGCAGGAACCGCAGGAGGGGTCCAACCCCCCCCTCCTATGTGACCCCGGTTGGGTCGTCTAGCTGGTAGAATTGGAGAATAGGGGCCAGAAGGGCAGACGACAAAGTCCAATGATGGGGGTAAAAAAAAAATACATATATACACAGCAAAATAAGGAGTGGCGCCCCGTCCGCCGACACCGTCCCCTTATGTATAAGGTACGCACATACATTTGCGTGGTGTCGACCTCTCAAAAAGAGCTCAATCTTGGATTGGGGATTGGCGAGATCGCACCCGGTGCGACCTCACCGACCCCAGTGCGGAAATCGAAAGAAACCATGCCGCTTTTGGTTTTCTTGGCGCACCCAAGTTTAATCTCCCCGACCGGCACCGTCTCTCGGCCTTTTGCGGGATGCGTACACCCTGCGAACCAGCCCATCGACAACACAACACAACAGCTGTACTGGTGGTGATGGTGGGTGAGCGTTTACACCCTCACGGCAACCTCGTTTGTTCGAAGGAAACCGGGCATGAACGGGGGTTGGTACTGGTAGACCAGCAACCCGCCCTTGGGTGTAAGCCCTTCGCCCTCTAGCGCCTGGAAAAGTTCTCGAGAAACTTCTGCCACCTTTTTCTATTTGGTCGGTGACGCACGAAAGAGGTCCGGGTCGCGGCAAAGAGGCGAAGGAGGCGGAGAAGAGTCAGGCTGCAGGGCAGCGGTGTCATTTCCACTGCTACTCGAAGAGGAGAGAAACGAGTGTACTCTCTGTCGGCATAAAGCGTTTTTCTGCCGAAGGCGTAGCGAATCAACGCGAACCACGGGCTGTGTTTCGGCGGCAAAGAGGTGCGGGTGCATGTGGACCTTGGGTCGTTCTTCGTGGGTACCACCCTCGGGCTTACGTTCACTTTCCACGCACGTTCGGTGGACACTGTGGTGTGGTGATTTCACTTGGACTGTCGGCGTTTGAAAACTATGGTATAGAAGCGCTGTTCGTGGATGGGGCCTACGAAAGCGCGACTGTGTGGGACAACCACCTGCTGGAGAGCATTCCTTGAACCGAAGAAAGACCGAGTCATACGGGATTTGATGCGGCGTTCTGCAGTCAGGTTCCACGATGAACCGCCAAACCGACCACGACGGCGGCAATAGCAACAATCAACACCCGCAAAGCGAAGCGCCGGCAGCGACCACAACGCTTTTCGCAGGACAGACTGGAGCTGCCTGGCGCAACACGAGCTCACCCCCAAGCCAGCAACGGGGTTGACGAGAATCAGCGTTGCATGATACTCTGCTTCTAGCTGAGCTGCCCAAGAGGGGCATACTCCCCCCCCATTCGACGAGTCCCCCCTCCCACCTCATCGGGAGACGGACCCCGGAAACGAACCGCCACCATACGATGTGCCCCTACGCTCTTGATCTTGACTCTGCCATCCTTGGGCTTGGGTAGAGTACCTGCTTTATACTATTTCGTTGTTGCACGGAGAACAAAAGAGGGAGGGTGACGGGAAGGTGACGATTGGGCATTCGAATGTGATCAAGGCAGGCGGTAACGACAACAGCAGCGACAACAACAGGAGGGAAGTGGCGCACAGCGCATCAGGCCCATAACGAAACGACTCCATTCCGAGGGGATGAGATAGGTAGCTCTCCGAGCATCGAAGGTTTCACGTCGCCGACAGGAACTTTCGTCGTCGGGGCTTACAATTAGCGCACCATGCCGCTCAAAACACCCCTCACAGCAAGACAGGATAGTTGGAAAATCTCCCTGTCCGTCTCCTACGCACACGCCACCGCAACCGAAAACCGCCACCCCACCCAAAACAGGAACCCAAACATGTATCATGCTGCGGCACACCTTTCTTGGCATGACGAAGGAGACTTTCATGTTCCGGAAGTTCGACTTGAGCTCCGTCCGTACGGGGCTTGTCATGGAAACGGTGGCCTTCTGTGGCTGTTCCGTCCTAACGGGCGCGGTCATGGCCACCTGAGCAGGCTCCACCTCTCCGTCCTCCGAAACGCGGCCGCCCGCGTTGTCGCCGAAGATGTACCTGCAGAGAAGCGCACGGACCGGGCGTACAGATTGTCGCCTGCAAGTAACCATGGCCCCGTCCACGTAATACCTCCGCGCGTCAAGCTGATACCGTAGGTGACGCAAGATACCACGCACGATACCACAGACCCCGGACCGGTTTTCAAAGCTCGATTACGCCAAAGCAGTGGCGGTGCCGAGAATGGGGGCATTGGAACCGTGTCACCGAGAAATTTCGGGAAAAGTGTCGCATGATTTGTGTGTCATGTTCGTCGTGGGGCAATCGAGATTTACAAATCGGTCCAGGGTGGGTGATATCTTGTATCATCTACGGTGCTTTGCGTGACTTTCTCGCTAGAGACGGATCGGTGTCGTCATCAGGCTCCTCCCCATGTTATACAGCAGATTTATTTACCATCAACTTGAAGGAAATGCTATGTTCAACACAAGCAAGGTAGACAGGTACATGCACGAGGTATTCTACCAGTGCGCCCTCAGGGATAATCTGGGATGAAAATGAGTGTGGCGCTAAGCAATGGTGCCGAGGGTACTCAAAGACCAGAGAGGCGAATCACAAGGCCTGTAGCGATTTGCTCACCCCGCCACGTTCATGAAGCCCTTGGTGGTGCCCTCCCTCATCGTTTCGCCGGACACGACGGACTCGGCGATGAGGTACGGCTCGTAATCCCGCACCTCTGCCGCCAATCTGCCAACGCGGACGGTCTTGGACACCGTGTAGGTCGGCCTTTCCAGCCTGCTAACGCTCACGCTGCGAAAAACGGAACGGACACGTGAGAGAGGAAGAGAGGGGGTGGGGAGGTTATGGAAGAGGAGTGACACGGGGGGGGGGGGCATGGCGCTTGGAAATGGCGGTGAATAAACGGGGAACACATGCGGCTCACATGCATAGAAATTTGACCTGGCCGTTGTGGCGTGTCGGGTGTTGATGTCTGTAGATACACATGCACTGGCCGGTGATATTGTGCATAACTCGTGTGTCGCTGTAAGCTGGCCGCTTTCTGGCGGCCAACAACAGTCTGCTCTTGGCTGCACAACCGTAAGTTTACACGTGCTTGCTGTCGACGGCGAGACTACCCGCTGCGCTGGACNGGGGGGGGGGGGGGGGGCATGGCGCTTGGAAATGGCGGTGAATAAACGGGGAACACATGCGGCTCACATGCATAGAAATTTGACCTGGCCGTTGTGGCGTGTCGGGTGTTGATGTCTGTAGATACACATGCACTGGCCGGTGATATTGTGCATAACTCGTGTGTCGCTGTAAGCTGGCCGCTTTCTGGCGGCCAACAACAGTCTGCTCTTGGCTGCACAACCGTAAGTTTACACGTGCTTGCTGTCGACGGCGAGACTACCCGCTGCGCTGGACGAGCCACAGCCTTGCCGAGAAGGTTCCCCTTATCTCGCTGTTTTCTTCACTTCTGTGATGCATATAGGCACAACCCACGCACTCCCCGGCCAATTACTGTCCCGACAGCAGAGTATATTTAGTCGGGGCACGTTCTTGATACTGCTGTAATCCAAGCTACCTCTGTTGCCCGTACGTACGTAACGCCAGTGATCACGAGCGTAAAATATCGCGTGTCAGAGAAATTACACAACCTAAATTCCGAAACAAACGACAACCCAGCAGTCAATCATATCTGCCCCATTACGAATTGATGCTGTCACCGGCCAACATGCGCTTGTTTCAGTTTCAGTTCTGCTGTAACTCCAAGTGCGACAAGAGTACCAAAACGAAACGTGTGCTGTCGACGTTTGGAAGTACTCACAAGAACTTTGCTGGCAAGGCCACGCAAATGGCACCCGCCAAGACTCCCGCCCACTTCAGCAGAGTCGCCTTCGGCACCTCCTTCAGAGCGGAGGGTACCATACTCCTCTAGGCGTGCCGTCGACAAGCTGTAATCAGTTACGTGGCCATTGCACGTCTTGCATATCGTCATCGGACCTCTGCTACACGTAGTTTCGCCGACTTTTTTTTTTATTTTTCCAAATACAACACAACGATTTTTTATATTTTCTTAATTCCCCGAACGGCAATGACGCACGTGTGCGGCTTGTGCGGCGCATCCTCATGACGGGGTGTGTTCGTCACGCGGGGTCACACGCGTCTCATATCGTGGGCGCACGTATCGTTTTCACCTCGCTCCATCCAGAGCTCTCTTTTTTTTTCTCTCTCTCTCTGCCCGCCCCACCCTCTCCTGGTACCCGCCCATCTACCCAGTGCATGGCTGCTGCTGTTGGTCGTCACTGGCACATTGCTACTGCTGGGGGGAGGAGCGAAAGGCCAGACAAACCGCCACACACGCCGGAGCCGTGGTAATCCACGTGCCCGAGCGGCGCTTTACACAACGCCATGATGCAATATCTGGATATGGAGGCGCTATCGTGGCTCTGCGTGGCGTGGGGCGTGCTGGAGCTAGGTTTCATCGCGGTGATCATGCTGTATCTGGTTCCGAGGATGAACCGCCTCGAGGCTCCGGCCAAGGTAAGGAGGCGGGGTGATCCGCTGTTCAACATGAAGCTTTGATGTTGCCAGAACCTTCTTTTTCGTTTACCCAACCGTTCGTTCGCCTGTGCATGACACGCTCTCGAAGAGACCCAGCAGACTGGGTTGTGGGGCGTAGCTCGCGTCGCCATGGCAACGAGGTAGGTCGCCATCATGCCTGCAAGCCTATCGTCGCGAATCGATGGATTGCAGCCTACCGACGTGATGTGGCATGTGCGCCATTTTCCAACATGTCCACGGCACTGAGCGCACGAAAAACATGGCGAGCACTTGCGTACACACACGAGCCGTCCCTGTGTGTTCATTGCGTCTTTGCGTTATACGCCAGGAACAATGCTGTCGATTCTGTACTTCCCACAGGTGCTTGCAGAGCTTTCGGGATATAAAAAGCGTCTCCACCCCCTGATGATGGACGAAGGGCCCCAGCGTAGCACACACACACCTCACACATTGCGTGACACGGCCAGGCTAGCTACACCAAGCCGTAGTTCAAAGAAAATACAGCAGGACCATGTCGAAAAAACCATTGTGGAAAATGTGCTGAACATGCGTTTATGTAGAGATCATGGAGAAACGGTACCCGTTCGAGCAAATGTCCCGTTCCAAGGGATATTCTCCACCTTTCTTACCCGATTTCTCCGCCGTTGCAGAGAGCCCGCCCGCCTGCGGGCATCCCCGCACAAAGTCGCTGCAAGTGTTCTTTCGCCGTGCGTCGAGAGATCAATGGGGCAGGCTGCTATTGGGCACCGGTCGTGCCTCTAGTTTCATGAATTGGCCTCACAGCAATGTTTGTTCAAGGGCGCGGGGGAGATCGCATTACCTCCTCTGAGAATTCCAGGAAATGCCTGCCTGTCTAATTTTTCCGAAGTCTAACTCCAGTACGCAACTACGATCGCATATTAGCCGTCCGCTGACCCACCCTCGCGTACAGTGCTAGTATCTGAGATTGTAGACCTTGCGATACACCACAGATTAGCGGTCCTCGATTTTCCACACGATCCGTCTGTCATCAAGATCGGTTAAGCTACAAGCAGGAATTTCGAAGCTGCTGTGCGGTCCGATTTCAAACGCTTCAAGCACCTTTGGTTACGGCTAGACCTAGGCTTCTCCTCGGTCGGCCGCGGCCGAAAGAGCCGATTTCTGAAAAATTCGGCCGGAAAACGGCCGCAAAAAAAAACGGCCGATGTTGCAAACAAAGTGGCCGATTTTGCAAAAAAAGCAGCCGATTTTGGCCAGGGGCCAGCCGAATTTCAATTGGCTACGGCCGGTTCCTAATCGGCTACGGCCGATTCCTAATCGACTACTCGGCTACGGCCGATTCCTAATCGGCTACTCGGCTACGGCCGATTCATAGTCGGCCACATGGGCCTCCCCCCCCTCCCCCCCCAAAATACAACGTTGATTTTGGGGAGTCCTACGTACCTACCTACCACCTTTTCACATTTTTTCACTTGCGGGGGTCTCCGGGTCTCCGCGCACCCTCGAAAAAATCAAAACAAAAAACTTGCAGCTCGCCAGCTCGCCGCTCACAGCTCGCAGCTCGCAGTCCGCACACCGTAGCACGTAGCACACAGCACACACATAC